TATATGAAATGATACTCCCAACTGAAAACTGTGCTGTTTAACTTATTAGTTCCATTTTTTGTTCAAAAATTTGGGTCTTCGAATTCCAAAGTAGAGTCCGGAAAAAAGAGTGCTTAGAGTTTAGGTTCATGCTTTTGGAGGAAAATTGTTAAGGGCTTGAAAGAATATTAGTATTTCATTTGAAATCTTCTTCAAACCAGTTTTTCAAACTTTAAATTCAAATGTTCAAGCGGAAATTGAAATAATATAATGGATCAAATCATAGAACAAACATTTGTTTGCAAATCATACTAGTATTACTTATTTGGATCACGCAGCTCGAAGACCTCCGGTGCACTTCAATCGAATTCAAAACGAGATGAGCTTAAAACTCAAATGCATAAGTACAAAATATAAAGAGTTATTTTAATAATCATGGGATTCTAATCAGATGAATTAAAATCAGAAAATTAAGAATATGTCCATAATATTGTCCATATGTATCCGTACTTCATCCAAGTCAGGTTCTAAAGGATACTGATTAATGCTACTGCTAACTAATTCCAGTCTTAATTTCCACAGGCAACTTATACCTACAAACTGGACACGATCCATGTATCTCCAACCACTTGTTAATACAACTCGAAGGAACGATGTTTACATGTCATCTCTTTAGCTTTTTGGTCTAACAGTTTTGTTCGGATTTGGAATAATACAATAACTATATATAGAAGTAACGGTAATTCTAACCAACATATATAAGGTTTACTAAACTAATTCATGATGAACTTTCCTATTTTATCTTTTCCTGCATTTAGGGGAATGATTTTTTATCAGGTTAGCGAATGATATATATAACACGATTAATTGTATTTTACATTTTTGTCCGATATTACTCCGCTATAACTTTTTTTTCTTTCTAGACCTATAGCAGAGCTCCAAAGTAAAGAATAATAAAGGTTAATTTTTAATTATAGTCAAAAGTAAAGGGGTAATTTTGAAAATTTTATCTTGAAGTATATTTTGACATGAGTGCGCCCAAATATGAGTCAGTTTAAAGGTGAATTTACCAAAAGTATTATGAAATATAATTGAGCAATTTCGAAAATAACATGAACAAATGTAAAACTTTTCCCGTATATAATTGGCCTACTATTGGAAGGTTATAACTTTCAATACAATACAAGAGCGATAAGAAGATAAATAAGGACATTTTAAACATGAAGTTTGAAATATTAAAGTTACATTTGAAAAATATCATGTCATCTATTATCTATTATCTATTACTATATAAAAGCATGAACCCCTTAATAAAAAGTCAAATTACATCAATACCCTTCTCATTTATTTAAATATATTTTGTGATTAAAAGAAAGTAATTTGGTGCATAAGAGAAGCCAACGCTTCAGCCTCCATACATCACTTTCTAACGTTGCCACCGTTTAGTTGAATCGAGCAATGTCTTTTACAAAGCATTGGTCAATTAAAACTCTAATGTGGTGACAAACATTGAGTCCAAATATTATGGACGAATCCAAGGGAATTATCACAGGCATACACTAACAAAGTAATTGACACTGGATAGCGGATATGTGGTGCCCACTTCCAATGTATTTGTCCACAATTTTACGGACTAAAATGGTAAAAGTTAGAGGCAAGTAGCACTAGAAGATTTGTATGGGACTAATCACAAAAAGTAAAATTGATTAAGGAGCAAGTGGCAATAAAATCGGGTTCTACCTTCTTAACTTTATTTATTAATGAATTTTTACCCTTTGTGATTTTTGTAGAACTTATTTTCATTATTAATGTAAGCGTATGTGACAAAATTAGGAATTTTATTAAAGGATATTAGAATATAGAAAAGTAAACACACAAATAAATAAAGAAAATTTAACATATAATATATATATATAGATAGAAAGATAGATAATTAAATTTTACTCACTACGTATAATTTAGGAATATGTTGATTGACAGTGCTATGCAATGATTAGGTAGATCTCTTATGTGATGAGTTTCTACACATAAGAAATGAGCTTTTAAAAAAATCAATTGCACGTAGTTTAGTTTTGTGGACTTAAAAAGAGAAGAAACACATACAGAAGCGGAAAAATGTGGACTGCAATTGTTGTAAAGGGAGGAATTATAGTTAGATATATGATAAAAAAAAATTTTAATTAATCTCTTTCATTCTCCGNACTCGGTACGGTTACTTACGGTACTACGTCACTTTACGTAAATTAATAATATATTTCACTTTAGTAAGTGTTAAAAGTAACTTTAAAAAAAAACAAAAAAACTTAAAAGTAAAGTTTAGGTACGTATACGTATAGAGTAGAGTAGTAGTTGTCGTATTGATATTGCGTACGACTTTTATTACTTTGTCGTTTACTAATTTTCTTTTATTTAACTGTAAGTACTATAGTTCTACTCAACTACTGTAGTCAAACGTTTTTTTTTTTTTGTTTAAGTTTTAAACTAAAATTTTAATTTTACCTAAACGTAGAACCATTACTAACACAAATACAAACTTTTTTTTACTTTTTTACTTTAGGTATTGTATGTCAAAAAATTAGAATCTTAATGATTTCTAAAATGAAGTACAATTGGTTGTATGGTTGTTGGTCCTATCTTGATAAGATCTCATAGATAAAGCTTTAGTATATTGGAAAATTAAAATTAGGCAAAATATTATCCTATGTAAGTACATTAGGACGGATCGTTTTGTCGGGAGATGTTTGCATAGTTAAAATCCTATACATATGAGGAGTTTACACGGTAATAGAATTATTACTGTCTGGCTTAAGTTAATAGTCTGTTTGCAATGTTTAATATTTGTTTGAAACGAACATTTAAAACTTAGCATTTATTTGGAATAAATTTTCATGTGAAGACTATTATTCTTTTTCTTAGATTTACGATTGTTTTCCAATGTAAATTTATTGTGTACTCTCCTAATGGGTTACTTGAATTATTTATTAAAGTTATTTAAATTATTATCTAATTCTAGAACGAATGTAGTTTTTATGATGAAGTACCAAAAAGAATGTAGTATAATAGAAAGTACAAATTCTATTTTATATTATAACTAAATGGCTGTGGCCCGTTCTTGCACGGACCCAACATATACATTTCTTTTTTTCGGTACATTGGATATGATAAAGCATATCAGTACTACGATTGCAAGAAATACATTTGAATCAATGGACACAAAATCTTGCATTTTTAAGTTCGGTAATACAAATGATTTTATCCATTATCAGCTAGAATATCTACTCACGTGCTGGATTTAAAATTAGACGCAGGGAAAAATAAAGGAAATGTCTCGACAAACCGATGATGTGGCATGGGTAGCTAATTCCATGATTCAACACGCCGCTCCTGCCCATCACTGTCAAATGCTATATAAAAAAGCAAAAGAGGTGGTTTCAGTAAATTTTTACTTACTAACACCAACAAATATTCACCTTAGAGATATAGAAATTTTAGGTTGAAATGTATCAAACTACAAATTCAGCAAAAAGCACAAAAAGATAGGAATACGCAAAACAACTAATAATATTGAGTCCGTTATAAAAGTAGATGAGTTTGAATCTCAATTTGCGTTAGTGTAGTCAAATTATGATGTAGCACAAAAAGCATACAATATTGGATGTGAAACTCTTTCTTCCCATAAACAGGTCCATAAGACATAACCTTGTCCAAGGACAGCATACCAAAGTATATTAGCTTTGCTATAGCAACTCTTTTCCTTCATTCGACCAAGTACAATTTAGTTTTCATTTTTACTGTAGCATGCTAGCAATATACATCACTTAAACAGTCCAATACATATGAATAATAGCAGAATAAAATAGTCTAGCACTTTTGAAAAGCTAACCAAAGCATGTTTTCTATTTCTATCCCTCCAACGTGACTTACATTTAATTATCTGTATAGAGAAAATATTTATCCAAAAAAATGCATATACATGAATGTCAGAATTCATAAATGACATGCTTTTAATTATGGCTTTCAGTTTTAAAACCATAATTTTTCATCATGCATCAATGCACAAACTCAAAAATTCATTTTTCTAGCACTTCACTTTACAAGATTTCACAAAAAGAAACAAAATAATTGCAATGAATTTAACACATCTTCTGGCAAGTCAGATGCTTGATCTAGACAGTTAGTTTCAGCAAATAGAACCAGCTGCCGCAGAATAAGAAAAAATTTCTATCTGATAATCAGCCAATGCATGCCAAGTACTTCGAACTCATTAACAACAGAGCTTTCAAAGGCCACATAATTGCTGAAGCGTGATTAATATTGCCATAAAAAGAAGTCAAGACCAATTTTTTTGGGGATACGTAATGTCAAGACCACAATCAGTTTTACCGGGTAGAGTTAAATACATAAATTTACTAATTTGTACGAGGAACTCAATAAAATTCCACTTTCACTGAACTAAAGAAAATGAAGGAAAGAGAGGAAGAGTAACACATGAATTTTTTTTTTATCAGATTTAAGAGAAAATAAATATAAATGTCAAGACGAAGATTATTTCCTATGCAAGTTACTCATATAGAATACCTGTTTACATGAAAAACTCATCAAAATTAAACTCCCGCCTTCAAGAAAACGAAGTGAAGGAAAGAAATAATCAAGAAACTTATGGTAGCAACAAGTAAATTAACTATATCACTCTTCAACTTCAAAGGTTAGGGGTCATCCACGTTCTTTTGTCTACTTCTTGCCTTTTAAGAAATAAAAAAGAGTAATAGTGGAAAACAATAGAGAGAAATCTTAATATGATATAAAGAACTTTCACACAACTCTTGAGCAATCTCCTCAAAAGTTGATTCTTCAAAAGCAAAACATTTAGAAAAAGGACAACTAATACTTAAGTCTTTTAGGGTAAGAGGAGTTCCCAACAAATAAATATGCGGCATCCAAATACGAAGCATCAAGAAAAATTTACTGCTGCAGAACATGAAGCACAAAACCTGCATAGATAAATTGTTGTCTCCTACGTAAAATTTAATAACTAATGGCCATGTCATTTTAATTATTTGACACCACATGTTACTTTGATTGAGGAATATCAATAAACTACAGGTATGACAAATACAAAATAGACACCTCCCAAATTCCATAATATTTGTCTGAAAGTCTTAATTCATATTTGGTTATAACTCTCTCAATAGCAATGAATTATGTTCAGTTTGTAGATTATCTCTAGCATTTGTATAGTGTCCTAAAAGAGAATCATAATTTCCTTATCTTGATGCTCTTTCAATATCACTTTATCAGAAATACAACATATATTTTTGGAGTGTTAGAGAAAATCGACAAATTAGAATAGTTAACGACATGTACCAAAAACTAAATGCAATGAAATCTCAGGGAGCTTTGTAATACTATAAATGTTTAGTGGTAAAGTAGCTATGCATGCAGCATAACAAGAACACAATAGAAGCTTGAAAGCTGTTAGACGCAAACTAATAATCCTTTCAGTGCTCTATTAAAAATGTATAGCACATCATATCAGAGAGAGCCAGGGGAATCAAATCCATACTCAATTCTACCCGCATGTACAAAGCATCAAAGAACACCAAATACCATGAATGCTAAGAAAAAGAATATAAACCCCAAGCAGCTAGAAAAGAATATTACTTATTTTGTTCAAACAGAAGAACACAAATATACTTGATTTGCATATTATCTGGGTCAATTACTGTCGCCCAAAAGAAAGAAAGAAAAAGGAAACATTAAACATATTAGCTCAGTGTTTTTGTTTTCATTTCAATATAGTCATTCCCAGACCCCACTTGTGGGATTTTACTGGGTCGTTGTTGTTGTTGTAGTCATTCCTAAACCCATTTTGAACACAGAATAAACATTGTCCGTCTTCATCTCTTAATTTTCTAATATTGTATTTCTCATTAAAATCTCTTCTTTTTTCATCTTTTAATTATCTAATATTGTACTTCTCACCTAAATTCTCCTCTTGTTTCTTTTTTATATCTCTTTTTTTTTCCAGCATTTTATCTCAAAGATTTTTCAATCAAGTAAAAGATAAATAAGTAAATAAACTTCTTCCTAAAAAAGGTGAAGACAATAAACTTATCAAATTAACATCCAAAATTTTTAAATAAAATACTTGCAACTAAGTTACACATTACTATAATTTTACAGATTTACATTCCCAAAACATCAACCTAGTCATGTTACACCCAATTTTGAATTACGTGTGGTGCAACTCAAAATCCATTTCATTTCTTACACATTTGGTCTTATCCCACTCATCCGATTTTTCTTTAATTGTATTTCATCAATAACAAATTCCCCTAACTTAAAAATTCCTTAAAATAGAGAAATCTCATTACTCACCAAAGTAACCCCAACAATTCCTTGGGGTTGCGTAAAGCAACACAATACGCAAAGCAGTAATAACGAACCTGAACAAACACGCAAAATTTCGTGAGGAACGTTAAATAAAACTTTTCCTTTGAGCTCATAAACGTCTTCTTTGTATCTGAGCAGACAAAACATTACGATTAGCGTTGCTCATCTTCCAAAGAAAGCTCCAGCATAAGGTGCTTGCCTTTTTCTGCGATCTACAGTTATAAGATAATAGATTGAGGTCCTGCATCAAAGTTACATAATCTATAAATAAATTCAAAAAATGAGGGGTACTAATTGGCCATATAAATATCAAGAAAATTGCCAAGTAGCCATTAGAACCATCAGTTAACAAAATCTCCAACTCAATTATTGAAACCCCAGTTTCAAACATTTTAGCCTTTAATGCCAAGATATAGTTTTTCACGGTATATTGTCAAATACCTTGGCTGCAACAATGCTCTTGTCTATTTTTATGTCATTTTCGTTCCAGATGTTAATTCAATGTGCCCAAATCGTGTTTAAACCTATGCAGGAAAAAACCAAACATGCATGTCAAAAGCAGATGTACACGGTGGAAAAAATATTCCAAAAGAATAATAAATAAGAGATACCCACCAAATCCCCATTACCAACAAAGAGGTGCAACAAACAACAAATGGATGCAACAGGCAAAGCAAGTGAGAGTGAAGAAAAATTCAACAGACTCAGAAATGTAGCACAGACCAAGTAAAAACTGGAAGAAGAAAGACAGTTAAAGATTAGAATGAAAAATCGGATCCTTCTAGAGTTTTATTTTATCATTTAGTGACACAATTACTATTTTGCCCTTAAATGAAGATAGATTTACAAATATACCATTGGTCGACCATCTTCTCTCTTCTTCTATCTATACTAGATAGGTGGTGCCCGTGCTGTGCACGGGCATATGCCTGACATATATAGTTTGTGTTATTTGGAGGTATAACATAGTCTTGATTCATAACGTAGTCTCTCATTTGAAGTAGGATCAGGGTCATCACCAGCAAGACACTCCAAACTGCTATATCAGTGCTTTTTGAATTGTCGTCAAGAGCTTGATGGCACATTCAAGTCGAACAACATAGGTAAGAGAAGCATCAAGCCAAAGGATAGGAACTCCAGATTGAAAGCAGAAATGGAGAATCGACTTTTGAACAGTTATAGCTACAGAAAAGACTAAGACACTTCCTACCTCTAATATTACATCAAAAAGAAAATATATACACCATAGAGACATGATGCTTGATCCAGAAAAAAATCGAAATTACTGTAATTAACCAATAAGATTCCATATGAATATTCTTAGCATGGACCAAAAACACCATATATTAGTTGTATGAAGCGCTAACCAAAACATTCAACTCAATCAATAGGTGAAGCAGGATGTCAGACACTTTTTCAAATAGAGACACCTGGGTTATTGTAATCACGGTTGTCACTGATTTTAGTATTGAAAGGTTGATGGAGCTTTTTTCACTAAAGAACTGCAGTTCCACGGATAGGGGAAATTAGATAGAGATTTTAGAAGAGAACATACTCAGAATCTACACATAGCTCTAACAGCTTGAGATATCAGCATTTTTCCTGCATTTGTGATTCATGATAAGTATCTCAAGCTGCGATGGCGCTGAAGTTGTTGGCAACCCTATGAAATCATCTATCCTAAACACCACAACAAGATCTTACATCAAAATATAGTAAACTTTCATTGTTATGTTTATCTCATCATGCTTCAATAGCATATAGAGGAAGGGTAGAGAGCCCAGTTTCTAAAATGTTGTATCTATTCTATTTGGATTCCAGCATCAATTCTTTAAATTTAGGCTAGCCTATTTCACTAAGAAAATTGGCATCTGACTTGGTAAGTTTCTTACTTTTCTCTTTTTAGATCTTAATTGCATAATTACTTTTAAAAAGGAAATGAAAGGTGAGAATTGAAGTATCCTACACATCCACTTGCAAGATATAATGCATTCAACCAAGGCGCATTCCTTGATGTATCCTATAATTCAACTTGCACAAAAAAAATAAGGAATTTGATACTTTCACATAAAACAAGCATTCAACATGTGCTAGTAGTTTAAATTTTATATTGGGTATTTTTTCTACCTTTTCAAGAGTTTATGTTTGGTTTAGGCTAAATGCAAGATAAAACATATACTCTAAAATATAAGGGTCATAGATAAATGCAGCTAATATTTTTCATCCTACTATATGGCTCTTATCTTTTTTTTTTATTTTTTATAAGTAACTATATTGCTCTTATCTCAATTAGTAGAGATGTTCACTTTGTTGAAAATAAAAGCAAAATATTTCAAATGGTAGGTCAACCAGATAAAGAGATTGTTAAAATGAATGACAATATAAACTCACATTATCAAATTCAGCTCCAAACACCTAAGCTCTAAGAAACTAAAATTGAACCTGCAAAAACCTTCAACTATAAAAATAGAGGTTAGTAATCAGCCAAAGTATCATGAGCATAGAAAATAGAGATACCTCTAATTTACCCGCCACGGGGAAGCAACAGCTACTGCTAAAATGAAGTAGGAACAAGCTTCTTTGAAACTTCATTGGTAACAATTTTAATAAATAATGGGATACATCTCTTCCATGCTCTAGCTAGGAATCAATATCTTTTTTTGGGACAATCCTAGTTCTTTCATAACGCTATAGAGCATGTAATACATAAGTTTATTAAAATAAAATCTTACAATAAAACTTTGAAGGTGACATAGAGCCACCCCTTGGGAACCGTCTCCCCTTTTCCCCTGCAATGAAGGGCGGATGGCTTAGCCTTGCCTTTAGAAAGAAGAAATAGAAAAAATTCCTTATCCCTGTACGAATAAGAAAGTAGTACCTATCAATACCTATTCTCCTCAGTTTGATGATGATAATATATGAGTTGACTTCTACTTTTTTCAATGAAGCTTATGTTACTTCTTTGGTGCATTAATTCTTCGTCTAGAGTGGGATCAATATATTTTCCTATCATTTTTGGTCACTTAAAATATCTTCCAAAGAATTTCAAGGAAAATGCCATAAACAAAAACTTATCAAAGTAAATAGCTATTATGGACTATGGTGCACCCTAATTAATTTTAACACATGGACCTATAAAATAATTACATGTTGTAGGGAGTACCGACATTATTAACTATACTAAGAAACTACATAGACTACTATGTTTATGCAAGGATATTCATCAGCGCACATGATCTCTTTTTAGGCTCTATTTACTAACTTATGCTCAAACAATAATGAAATGAGAAACTACAAAGGGAAAATTCTATCCTGGAACATCAACATTTAGAACTGTTTGATACACAATTTATTCATCGCGTAGTTGGTAATAGAGAATCTTAAAATTTCAAACTACAGTGTCAAATATAATTATCGTGCACCACATTTAGTTGTAAATGCCATAGAAGAACCTAACTATCTTGAGTTGAGCTTCAAAACCTTTTTCCTGAAGTTCCCATTAGCAAAATAATTCAGTGCGCCGCATTTCTATAGTTGCGCTGTGTTGCGCAGCATAATTGCAGCTTCAAGTTCTACAACAATTGAAACATGCAATAAACTTATAAGATCATCTGGTTCAAGCCATTTAAAGGGCTCAAGCTTTTCTCCATAATATAGAATACCATTGTTATACACTTTATTGATTTGTTGTTATGTTAAATTATTAGTGTCAATAAAACAATAGATATAATTAGATAAAGTTAGTTGTATTAGATGGAAGATAAATCAAATTACCTCTTCATCTTGCAAGATTAATTCTGAAGTCTTCTTTTTATTGAGAAGATTTTCTCGCTCTTGATTTTGTCCACAACTTGCATTTTGCATGTTCAATCAGATAAAGCTGGTGTTATATGATCATCGTAGATTCATAATTGATGTCGGTTCGTTGTGACATGGTGTTCTGATACCTGTAAAACTATATTTAACAAAATACAGGTATGCCTTTTGCATCTCAAATTTGTAAAATAGATAAGGGTGATAAAGTAGAAATTATTTATCCAAGAGAATCAAAATTACTAATCCAATATCTAATGCCAATGAGGTCTTGCTTAAATGCCAAGATCCTCATATTTTTTGGATTGACAGGAAGGAAAAAAATAATTAAAATCATACTGTATAAACGAAACAAAGAAGAAAGATAGATGCTATCTTTATAGTAATAGTTAATGTCATTCATAAGACTTCCAATAACAAACAGACTATATTTTAAAATAGGAAACTAACTATAAGTAACTAATAGTTTACATCAATAGAATAAAAACAGAAACATCAGCTTTAATTAGAAAAAAATATCTTGAAAACGGATATTATTTGCAGTACTTCTCACAAATTGTATCAAGGTATCTATTCCCAAACATGCATGAGCAAATCAGAAAAAATATCGACACGCATGTAGAAGATTCAATAAGAAACAATCCAAAATAACAGAAAATCTAATAAATACCCACCAAAAGAATAAGAAGCTAACATATACCCAAGGAATGGTGATTACCAAAGAAAGTGAGGAAACAAAAGAAAGGTTACAGAAGAAACTCACCTAAACAAAGAGCTTACAATTTGAAAAATGAATACCAGAGAGAGAAGCTGATGAGACCTGATAGTAGAATCGGAAAAAGGAAATCGGAATTTATAATCTCATTCTATATTATTAGAAATAAGACTTAAGCATTAAAAGCTACCTCAATGAAGATACAGTGGTTCTGCTTTTAGAGATGACCCGGCTTCTTAGTTTTACGCCTTAGCTTAAAATTTCAATATCTCAATCTCTCTGTATGTGCCTTTCCAGTATATATTCGTATCCTAGGGTGTTCGCTTTGATTTTGTAGTGTTGAAATGGTAAATTGAGTTATCATAGAACGAAGCAATTTTTTGGGGAACAAAAGATTTAGGAGTCATACAAAGAAAAGGAAGAATAAAGAAAGGAAAAAATGGTATGAACATTGAAGACCACGTGTTTCCCATTCATTGCAAAAGGGATAAGTGATGACACACGTGTTATGTAAAGTTGAAGTACAGGTCTTTAAGATGGAATGACTCAAAATTACTAAATTATCCATAAAGCAAGTTAGATTTCCAGAAATACCCTTCGTCGCAGCAGACCTTCACTTATTATATAGTGTATGTAAATGTAAATGTAAATAATAGAAATATGATAGCCTAGTTGGCACCTTTACTTGCGTCGGTTTGACAGGCCGATCCTCCTACTTTACGAAGTTTTATCTAGACACTTGAACTTGTTCAAATATACTCTTTTAAACCCCTTCGCCCTGCGTGTATCTCACTCTCTCATGTGTAAATGACACGTCAGATCCACGTTAGTTGCCACGTCATAATTGATTTCAGCAATTATAAATTTGATTAAAAAATTGAAATCAAAAAAATAAAATAAGAATGAAAAAAAAAACTCCTCTTATCATTCTCTTTGGCCCTCAAAACTCAAGAGAAAGATGCACAGACTGCAATTGGGGATCACTAAAAACACCAGAATTCTCCAAATTCTTCACAACTCATTCTGTATCTTCCATTATTATTCTCTTTGCACCGATAAAATCTTTGTGCGGCCATTGACACCCTTTCCCTCATTCATTTGAATTTATGTAATAATGCTTTTTAATCCAGTAACCAGAACCCACAAAGAGGATCCAAAAAAATCCAAACTTACGGGAAAATTTAAGAATTCAAATCGCATAACCTATTCATTTTTTTCTTTTGGAATATAAAGCAAAATCAATCAAATCCCACTAAAAGTATCCCAAAGCTCACCCAAAATACATAAATTCAAGGAATAAAATCAAATTAGACAATCGATTTTTGTTTTAGAAAGATAACGAATTAAAATAAATAGCAAAAGAGAATGTTTGGTAGCTCAAATTTGAACAGTTGGACGATGAAACGAGGAAAACCCAGAAAAAGAGAAATATTTATTCAATTAAGAATTTGGCATATCTTCTAAGACTTTATCTTTTGGTTAGATATAAGGATATGTATATGGGGTAGTATATGATTTAATTGGTTTATTGGGAAGAAATAGAAAGGTGACGAAGAGAGGAGGAGACGGTGGCAGCGGAAAGGAAAAAGAAAGGTGAGTGGCTGTGTTTGAACTAGTAATGGGTCCTTTTTCCTTTTATTTTTCTATTACTATTATTCGGACACTTTATCCCTTTTTCTTTTTCATTTAACTTTTTAATTATGTTTAAAGTAGATTCACCAATTCACGCTACTCAAACGCGTGTATATCACATATTTTGTCCAACTCATCCATATCCCTCCCACATAAGCTCGGTCAATGGTCAGAGGATTTTGAGATATTAGATTTGAGCAAGTTCAAGTGTTCGGATGAACCTTCATGAAATAGGAGGACCGGAATGTCAAACCAATACAAGTAGAAGTGTTTAAAAGGCTATTCTGCCATAGAAATATTATAGTTTGCTTATCTAACCACCTTAGGTCCAATTAAAATGAAGACCGACTAGAATTACCAAAATATTTTTTTCCCCATATAGCTAAATTTGTACATAATAATATTATTGCATTATAATAGCCTGTTTGGCCAAGCTTCTTTTTGGCCAAAAGTGCTTTTTTTGGCCAAAAGTACTTTTGGCTAAAAATTGAGGTGTTTGGCCAAGCTTTTGGAAGGAAAAAGAGTGCTTTTGAGGAGAAGCAGAAGCAGTTTTGGAGAAGCAAAAAAAAGTAGCTTCTCTCCAAAAGCACTTTTTTGAGAAGCACTTTTGAGAAAAATACACTTAGAAGCAGTTTTTTAAAGCTTGGCCAAACACTAATTGCTGCTCAGAAGTGCTTTTCAAACTTATTAGCCAAACACAAACTGCTTCTCACCAAAAGTACTTTTGAGAAAAGCACTTTTGAATAAAAGCACTTCTCAAAATAAGCTGATTTTTGCAGCTTGGCCAAACGGGCTATAAGTCATGGCTTGCGATACTCATGGGGACTTTTCAAATTTATTGACTTAAAATCTAGAGTTGATCAGTACACATTTTTTAATGGTTTCTTTTGTAGTTTGATTGTTCCGTGAGGAACAATCTTATTTTTGCTTATGTTACTTTATATTTTCTAATTGTAAAATGGTATTCATACACATATCAATATTTTTTTGCTATTTTATTTTCCTAAATTTGGATGATACATGGTCTTGAAAGCATGTGCTTGTTGTTCAAGATTAAACTTTGATTATGCATCAAAATCTTTTGCAAGGTACGCATAATTCTTCAATTATTTCTTTGTATTCTGAAAGAACATTCATATTTATATGACTCGGCATACACGTGCAACGCACGTGCCGAGAGACTAGCTTAGATATAAATAAGGACATATGAATGACCAGCTTTAATTTGCGATTGTTCAGATATAAAGACTCACAAAATTAACTCCTCTTGTGACGACCCAAAGGGTCATCACCTGTTTTACTTATCCATTCTATGCTTCCGAGGCCTTGAAAACCTCATTTATAGCCGCCTCATTTTGCGTGCGCAGTCTGGGCGCGTAGCCGGAAGGCTTAAATGTGAAACTGTGTGAAAAATGCTAAATTTTGGTATTAAAATGAATAAATTTGACTTCGGTCAACATTTTGGGTAAACGGACCCGAACCCGTAGTTTGACGGTCCCGGAAGGTCCGTAGGAAAATATGGGATCTGGGCGTATGCCCGGAATCGAATTCCGAGGTCCCAAGCCCGAGAAATGAATTTTTGAGTAAAATTATTTTTTTGAAATTACTAAGGATAATTGAAATGAAAATTGATTAGAACGTGTTGGTATCGGGCCCGTATTTTAGTTCCGGTGCCCGGTACAGGTCTTATATGTGATTTAAAATATTTCTATAAAGTTTGGTTGAAATCGGACATCGTTTGTCATGTTTCGGGCTTAAAGTTCTAAATTTGAAACTTAATGAAGTTTGAAGAAAAACTCTTGATTTTTGAGGTTTGATACATTGTTTTGATGCTATTTTGGCGATTTGATCGCACGGTTAAGTTCGTAGGATGTTGTTGAGTTAGTGCATGTGTTTGGTTAGGAGCCTCGAGGGCTCGGGAGTGTTTCGGAGGTGTTTCGGAGTGGTTTTGGACTTATGAAAATTGCAGGTTCCAGTTCTGGTATGGTCTTCTTCGCGTTCGCGGGAGAACCCTCGCGAACGCGATGAGTAAAATTAGCTTAAGGAGATTTCCTTCTACGCGAACGCGTCCCTGGCTTCGCGAACGCGAAGGCAAAAGTGAGCCTGGGCGGGGGTGGGGTACTATAGCTATGCGAACGCGACCTCTAGGACGCGAACGCGAGGCATAAGGAGATAACTCTCCGCGAATGCGAGCCGCTGTGTCGCGAACGCGAAGGTCTTCAGACCTGGACCATCGCGAACGCGAAGGTCCCATCGCGAACACGTAGGTTTAATTCGCCCAGTTATTTTTAAAACTCCAAAACAGAACCATTTCGGGATTTTCACAAGACTTCACAAACTTCTTCTTCTCCAAGGTTCTAGGGCGATTTTTGAAGCATCTTTTCACCATTAACTTGTGGGTTAGTAATCTTTAACTCGTTTCCTTCAATTTTCGTCAACATCTAATGAATTCCTAATCCTAAAACATGTAATTAAGGGTAGAAATTAGAGAAATGGGTAGGGTTAGGGCTTTTTGATTTTTCTTGATTTAGACCTCGTTTTGGGGTCGAATTTGAAAACAAATTATATATTCGGGCTCGTGGGTGAATGGGGGGTTTGATTTTGGTTCGAACCTCGTGTTTTGACCAAGCGGGCCCGGAGTCGATTTTTGGGATTTTGGGAAGATAGCTTGAAAATCTATAATTAGGCATTGGGCTTGATTTGTTTAGCATGTATTGATGTTATGACGTCATTATTGTATAGATTTGATTGACTTGGAGCCGAATTCGAGAGGGAAAGCAGTTGTTGAGGATTGAATTGGCCGTGGAAGTTTGAGGTAAGTGTTTGGTTTAACCCTAGCTTGAGGGACTAGGAGTTGAGTCTTATTTGCTAATTGCTTCTTGTTGAGTACGACGTATAGGCATGGTGACGAGTATCTATACGTTGGTGTCTAGCATGACCGTAGGTCTTTAAATTGTGAATATCTTGATTTTATTGTATTTCCCTTGCCTTGGTGATGATTCCTATTTGTTGTGAAAAGCTTGTGAAAGGAAATTGTGACCTATGAACAACGAGGAGCATTGGCTCAAGTTATATTTCAATTGTGAACATCTATGAAATGGTTGAACCCTTTGGGGCATTGGCTCAAGTGGTAAAGTGAGATATGAAATAAAAGTGAAAGGAAGAGAAAGAGTAATTAAATTATTCCCTTGCCGGGATATTGTTGTTTATTGATTATTTTCCCTTGCCGGGATATTGTTGTTTATTGATTATTTTCCCTTGCCGGGACGTTGAGATTATTGATGTTGTACCCTTGCCGGGATTTCTTTATTTATTTTGTTTATTCCCTTGCCCCTTGTTTGTGATTGTTGTTTGGGTGAGGAAAAGTGTTAAAGCACGAAGGGTGATGCCGTGCATTGTTTGTTCATTGTGAGGAAAGAGTGTAAAGCACGAAGGGTAATGCCGTGCATTGTTTGCTTATTGTGAGGAAAGAGAGTAAAGCACGAAAGATGATGCCGTGTCGCACGATGTACCATTCTATGCCGATTCTATTGATTATTTGTGAGGAAAGAGAGTAAAAACAGGAAGGGTGATGCCGTGCACACTTATTTATATCATTGCTTGGTGAGGATGAGAGTAAAAGCACGAAGGGTGATGTCGTGTACTTGTTGCTTTCTGTTTCTTTATTAATGTATGAGTTGTGTTATTTCCTTCGTTACTGGACGACTTTTACTTGAAATTGTTATTTCCCCCATAGCATGCTCCCCTCCCAAATTGATTACTTGTCCCTGTATTTCGATTCCGCTGTATATGTATATATATAACTGCACAGGTTTATGTGGTAGTCTGGTCTAGCCTCGTCACTACTTCGTCGGGGTTAG